GTGGTCACAAGTATGCGAAGGAAACTGTGGGAGCATATAGGAAGGGACTCGCCTGTCTGAAGGGCAAAGTGGGCCACGCTGGGGAAGTGACACCTGTAAACTGAGCCGAAGAGCATTGAGGCAGATGGAACAGCTTCGGTGAAGCCCAAGGAAGCAAGTTTGGTGGCTGGAACCTCAGGAAAGCCCAGCGGCTCCTACTCAAAACCCTGGAGCAGGCTGAGAAAGGGCTACAGAAGCAGGCAGCCTCAATGGCCTTGCTGAGAACTTGACACTGGCCTCAGAGGCTGGCTGGCCAAGGAAGGCTTCTCAGGCATTGGGACCTAATCATTTGCATTGGAAGACAATCCACTGCTAAATCAATGGGGTATTGTGTACTGGATTCTGGAACATAAAGTAGATATTAGCAGAAGAAAAAGACATCTGAATAAATTCTGTAGTTGAGTTAATAGTATTACACCAATACTTATTTCTTGGGTTTAACAAAGGTACCATGGTTATGTAAAACATTAATATTAGGGGAAGCTGGATGAAGGACACATGAAAACTCTGTACCATTTTTACATCTCTTCTGTAAGCCCAAAACTATTTCAAAATAAGAAGTTTTAAAAATACATGTATCCCTCTGGCACCGTGGCAGAGAGGAGCGAAACTGGATGCAGGGAGAGAGATTACAGTAATAAGGATGACTAACACTTAAACCGTTCTTCCTGTACACCAGGCATTGTTTCAAGTACTTAATGTGTTTAACTCATTTAATCCTTGCAAGTCCATGAGTGAGTATTTTATTCCCCCTCATTTTACACATGAGGAAGCTGAGGACAGAGAGGTTAAGTCAGTGGCCCTAGAACACACAGCTACTGAGTGACAGAACTGGAGTTTAAGGATTCAAATCTAGGCAGTCTAGCTCCAGAGTCCTGTGTGCTTGAGCATTACATTGTACTCCCTCCCCTCAGTGTGCACTGGCTCTACTGCAAGGATATTGCAAGGATCAGGCAGAAATCGTGTGCACGGACTAGGGTGATAACAGTAGAAATGGAGCCATGTCACTAGGCTTAAGATATCTATTGGAGGCATACTCAACATTTGCTTTTGAATTAGAATATGATGGTCAAAGAAGAGGGAAGAAGCAAGAATGACTCCTAGGCTTCCTTCCGGCTTAAGAGTAGCGACCAGAACTTAGTCTCCTGATGCTTGGTCCTACGTTTCTTCCCGTCACTGAGGGAAACATTCCAGACCTTTCACAGTCTAGTTGCACTTTCTTGTCCCTTTCTCTTATGATCTTCAAAATGCAAAACAAGCTGGACCACCTGCTGCTCCCAAATAGGCGCCAACTTTCACGTCCTTGTGCAAGTTGTGCCCTCCACAGAAAGTGTCCCCTCCATCTCCCTTGGTCCAAATCTGATCAACCCTTCAAGGCCACCTCTTCCAGAAGCCTTCCCTGCTCTCCACAATGAGAAGCACTCAGTCTCTCCTCTGGACGCCAGCATCTTTTGGGCTCTCTTTGGCAGCGAACAACTTCCATCCTATAATAGAGTTATTTGAGTAGGGTCGTGGCTCTTGCTGTCTTTGGTGACCTCAGTACATAGCATAGTAGATGCTCAAAAAGATATTTGTTCAGTGAATCAACTATCTGAGTAAACAAGCTCTATCTTATTTCTCTTTGTCCCTTCCTGGCTCCCTTTTCTGTCTACTGCAACCCACCGCACACGGACACCCGCGCGCGCGCACGCACACACACACACACACACACACACACACACACACACAACACATACAAGCTGGCACCCATGTTGGTGCTTTGTGTGTTTCAGGGACTGGTTTAATCTGCCTCCATCTTCTCCACCCAACCCATCCCCAGGCAGCCATGCCAACCCCCAGGCACACTCTCTCTGGAAGCCCATTTAATGGCAGAAGATCAAAGAAGACTTACCCAAGGATGGAGAGATGGGAGAACATAAGCGGGGAACTAGCAGGCATTGGTGCATCTGGAATTGCCCCTTCAACCTATCCAGTCCATCTCCTACAAGTGGTCCTATCCTGGAGGAGGTGACAGCCCAATGGTGAATAAATCAAGTATTCAGAAGCAGAGTCTGAGACCACTTCAGTGAACTCAATCCAGAACTAGTCCTTAAAGTATAGGGCCAGACTGGACTACCACAAACCAAATTGATAAGGCATTCTCCAGGTAAAACCCTCTTGGTGGCTACCTGGTATTCACTGCAGGTCTCTTCTTTCCCCGAGTCTCAGGCTCAGGTACAGCTTAATGCCTCTCTCCTCCAGCACTTGCCTCTGATAGATAACTCACTCAGCCCCTGTGTGCCTTCCCCACAGAAGCTTTCCCTGATCCCCACCCCACCCCAGACTGAACTGGGCACTTTCTCTGAGACCCGTCAAATCATGTGTGCACATCTCTGGGACACACCACACACATTAAATGCTTGTTTATAACATCTGTTTCTGTTTGTCTTCCCCCTCGGCCCCCTAACTAGACTGAGTGAGCTTAGGGCAATGACGATGTCTCTGTATCCCCAAGACTGGTATGGTGTTTGGTACAAAGAAAGCCCAATTACATTTGTTAAATGTAAAAAGATGGATGTATGAGTGTGAATGTTCATGTGAGCGCTTTATTCTACAGGCTTCAGC